ATAATAATAATAATAATAATAATAATAATAATAATAATAATAATAATAGTTAACATTTATATAGAGCTTTAAGTTTTGAAAAACACTTTACAAACATTATCTCATTTTATTCTTACAACCACGTAGGTAGGTGTTATTATTATTCCCATCTTTACAGAGCAGAAAACTGAGGCAGGCAGACACTGAGTGCCTTGTCCAAGGTCACACAGCTAGTAAATATCTGAGGCAGAATTTGAACCCAGGTCTTTCTGACTCCAGATCCTGTACTGTATCACCTAACTGTCTAATATTTGGGGATTACAGACCAACGAAAGATTTAGTTAAAGAGGGAAGCTCCTGTTTTCATTAAGGTCCTCCCTCAATGCCACACTTTGGCACAGATCTGTCCCTGGTTTTTTTCAGGTTGTGCCAGCATAGGATAAATTCTAATAATTACTATGATTAGATCATAGATTTGGCACTGAAAGGGACTCAATGAGTCTGTTAATTTTGTTGATGAGGAAACAGGAACCTCAGAGAGGTTAAATGATTTGTTCAAGGTCACCCAGTCAGTGAATGTCTGAGGTGGGGCTTGAACCCAGGCCCTCCTGACTCTAAGTCCAGTGCCCTGTGTATGACTCCACTATTTGGAGGCTACAAGTATAGATCTGCTGGTGGACTGTGAGTCTATCATCCAATGACCAGAAGTAAGTGTATTCATCATGACAATGTTAGCCACCAAGGGTGATGGGCTTTTTTTGAGGGAGGAGCAGCGCTGTGACAACTCATGAAGGCCACTCTAGTTGGGGCGGGGGGTGGCTACTCCTTTTGTCAAACTGGAGAAGGTTGTGATATTCTTTGTTTTAAATTGTACCAACAAAGGTCCTTCAAAATATCAAATTATTGAAGGGAAATGTCTAGCACAATTCTTTCCTCATGATAGACTTGACTTTATGGCATCATGGGCAGAAAACTGGAATGGGGGTCTGAAGAGCCAGGTCCTAGCCCTAGATTAACCACTAACTCAACGTGTGTCTTTGGGCAAATGACCTGGTCTCTGCGTTGGATCGACATATTGATCCTGGGACCATGTGCTAAGCCACGTTCCTCACTTTTCATCCTTCCAAGGTAAACCTGAGCATCTCTTGGTGACACAGAGGACTGGGGAGGCAGAGAGAACTGGAGGTTGTGGTGATGGGGCCAACCCCCCTCTTGTCAAATGGTCATCATGATATTTGCTCTGCCTCCTTTGTTTTAAGCTCAGAGAACACCTCAGCACCAGCTCGGAGAATAAATCCGGACCAAGCCAGACTAGTTCCCTGGCCCAGCTTGAAACTATCTCAGGACGAGATCAGAGAGGTTCTTGGAACAAGCTCTCTATCCATTAGAGGTTTCATTGAAAGATCCCCACAAAACCAACTAAACAACATTCATCTCCACCCTGGATCATTTTTCCTTCCCTGACCATAACTGGGACTGTCTGGAAATTCTTTTTTTCTGCCTTCTTTCTTTAAAGTCCTCTTTAAAAAGTGCCTCTCTTTTCTTTTTCAAAAAATGTTGTCAAAACCAACAGGCGTCTCATGGCCTTTCTGGGAAAACTTTATTCCTAGATTCCTGTTTGTCCTGGCTCCTCTAGAGTGTGGTTGGAGTCCCAGAGAAATATTAATAGACTTGTTTCATTGAACTACGCAGCCCTTTCCAAACACTTATGTAAAATGTTTGGAAGAGAGAATGATGTGGATTTCCACAAAGTGATGGAGTCTATAAGGAAGAAACTTATCCCAGAGGCCCCAAGGAGAACAGAATGGGCTCCTCTGTCCCCCTAATTCTCCTACTCTTTTGTTGAGTGGACTTTATAGAGTGCAGTTGCATCTTCTGTGGGAAGGACGTATTGCTTTTTTCCTCTTTTGGCAGAAGAAGGAAGATCAATGCAAGCCTCCATAACCTATCTCTCAGTTGCTGCTGATGCCCCTAACTTGCTTGCTTGGCTCTGCCCAGGCAAAGTGAGACTATGATGAGGAATCTGGAAAACTTCCCACTTCCCTACCCCCAATCTAGATAAGCTGTATTTAAATGAGGAGGGGTGTGTTTAATTCACTTCAAGCTGACTTAGATAAACTGCAATTTAATGTCAACTGTTGGAGGACTTTATCAGAATATTAGTGCAAGGTTGTGGAATTTCTGTTATATTTACTGGGTTGGTCTATGACCAGTTATCTTGGTGGTTAAGGCACAGTGCAAATAAGGCTGAGATAATAGTGATTTTGAACCCTTGGTGGGTCAGTTATCAGTGTTTGGTCTCAGGACTCTTTAGACACAGTCTAAATTCCTTCCCAAGGTACATCACTGACCCTGATTACAGATTGCTTTTTAGCCTCAGCCATAGACTAATGCCTAATTTTGACCACAAACCCCCTAACATGCCACAGAATGCTCCCTAACTCTAGTCACAGAATGGTTCTTAACCGATCAGCTCTTTAGGGATGGTCACAAATTGACTGGTCACAGACAGATCTCTAATCCTGGCCACAGGCTGACCTCTAACCTCACTCACAGACTAGCTCCCTAATTATGTTCACAGACCAACTCCCAACTCTCTAACCCCAGCTACACACTGACCTCCGACCTGACTATACACTGATGACCCAATTGTTTAATTATCTCCAAAATGTATATAGGTGGTCATTAGGGGAACCAGGTATGTGATTGTGGATGGCTCAGTAAAGTCCATCCTCATTGCAAGAGATAGAGCTCAGGGCCCTCATCCTATTAGTGGTGAACTAGGAATAGTATCTTCAGACATAAAGGATCACAATGTTATTTAAAACAGCCAGAGGATGCCATATGTATGCTCAAGATAAGTGATTTCTACAATCACACTTAAGTATGTATTCAATTTATTCTAACTTCCCTTACTAATTGGACACTCCTTAGGGAAAGTCAGGATTGAGGTCTCAAGTGAATTTCTACAGCTGTAGCTCTATCAATTGAACATGTTTCAGCTTAATCATCCCCATGACCCATTTCTGTAGAGCTGGTCAGATAAGTCTGGCAGCACATTTGGTTTAATTATTTTCAAAGCCCTCAAATCAGAAAAAAAACCCCAACCTCTTCTCTCCCCCCCCCCCCCCCCCCCGACCTCCATGCTTTCCCCTCCTCCGTTTGGCTCACTGGTCTACCATCTTCAAGCTTCCCCAGACTTTCCCTGCCCAAAGTATAGATGAGGACAGGATGAGGAACGGCAAGGAAGGGGTCCCCTGTCAGAACTCATGGGGCCTCTTACTGGGCAATTTTGCAGTTCGTGGTGGCGACATAGCGTCCAGTGTAATGGATGTTGCATCTCACGACGTTGTTGGTGAAGTCAGACTCCAGCACGATGTACTTTGGGTTCACCTGCACCTATGAGGCAAAGGAGGATGGAAGGAGATGGGCACTTGGTCAGAAGTAATGATTTCACCTGACTCCTCAGATAGATAATGGTGAGAGAAAGTCTGCAAAGGACAGGTTACAAAATTACTCCTTTCTTAGAAAAATCTGAGGCCTTCCCCAAAACAATGGGGGTTGACTAATAACTCGTTTAGTCCCCTTCCACATCTATGATTCTAAAAGAGAATTTCTGACAAATAGAACGTGCTGCTACCCAAATAGGAATGTAAAACAAACATAATTCATTTGTAGATAATGGGTTCCAAGCACTGTCACTATTCATCTGTGACAGAGATATTGCTCTACTGTCAAATCTTAATTTTGGGGATACTGTTGTTTTTTGTTCTATCTGTGTGTGTGTGTGTGTGTGTGTGTGTGTGTGTGTGTATGTGTGAGTATCTGAGAGAGAGAGATCTAAATTACAAGACTTATTTGTGAGATATTTAAAAATCAATGTAATTCTAGAACTTCTAGGTGCTAGATTATAAACATTTAAGGGTAAAAATCATAGTTTACTCATCCTTGCATCCCCACAGTATGCAGCATGTAGTAAATTTTTTTTTAAATCTCCCTTAATGTTAGTGCCTTCCCTCTGCTGATTATCTTCAGTTTATCTTGTATAGATCTTTTATTTATATGTTTTCTCTCTCATTAGACTGTGAGCTCCTTCAGAGCAGGGTCTGTCTTTTGCCTTTGTATTTCTAGTACTTAGCCCAGTGCCTGGCACATAGTAGGCACTTAATAAATGCTTGTTGAATGACTGACAAAATGTGCTGGTTGAACGAATTTTTTTTTAAAAAAGTACACCTCTAGCCATTAACAAAATGTTGTTGACTAATGTGGAAATGTGTTTAATATGATTGTAAATGTGTAGCCTATATCAGGTTGTATGCTGTCTTGGGGAGGGGGGAGGGTTGGGAGGGAGAAAAAAAACTGAAACTCAAAATCTTGTAAAAGTGAATGTTGAAAGCTATCTTTGCATGTAATTGAAAAAAATAAAATACTATTAAGTGGGGAAAAACGAAAACAAAAAACCCTAAAATGTTGCCAAGCAGAGATTCCCCTGAGCCTGCTTTAATGAATAGCTGAGGGTAGGTTGTCATTAGTACATTAGTGGTTTGTATGTAAACAGGGCACAGTGGGATGATGGAAAGTGTGCAGGATTTGGAGTCAGAAGAAGCTGGGTTGAAATCCTGCCTCCAATTTTTACTGGCTGGGGAACCATGGCAGGTCACTTCATCCTTATGAACTTCAGACTCTTCCACTTTAAAATGGTGCTCTTGTTGTGAGACTGAAGACAATGTAGGTAAGGTGCTTTCCTAACCTTGAAGTACCATATACACCTCAGTTATCATTAAGAAGAATGGTTTGTTACAGTAACAAGGCATATTTCAATTACTTGAATTTACAAAGCACATTACCTCCAATACTTGCTCTGATGTTTACACCAATCTGGTGAGTAAGATGAATATTATGCCCATTTTATAGATGAGGAAAAGAAACTCAGAGGGGGTAAAGCAACAAATCCAAGGACAACAAATCACAAAGTTCGTGAGTGATGGGTCACTACTGACTATCAACTTCAAGGTCAGTACACTTCCTATAATATATGCTGCCTCTCCTGTTATCATGTTACACTTATCTATTTAAACATATAGCCTCATAATTTCATTTGCATGACTCGTTAGCTCAATAAACCCTATATTTATGAACAGTGACAAAGTTCCATAGAATAATGATTCCAAATTCCATGAATAGGATTTTAATGGACCTGAATAGAGGAGCTGACTCCCTTCCCTTCCACAGAACACTCAGTCTGGGTTCTGAGCTGTATAGCATAAGGTCCTATTCTCTAGGAATATGTTCAAAATAATAGGAACACCTTTTCTGCTCCCACTTAGAAAAAAGGGTTTTAGTTAGTTAAGAAGCGTGCTTTGACCCAAAGTCTGGGGACTCTGCGATGTGCTGCTTAGAACAGCTTATATCGTACCTCCTCTCTGAGGAAAGCAGAGATGCCTCAGGGATGGTTCAAAAGACCACCTTTCCTGAGGAAGGGGCATGGATCAGGTCACCTCTTTCATCCTTTCTGGCCTCCAGATGCCCTACTGTATTTTTAATGTCAATAACACTGCCCACTGGGATGTCCTTGCCAAAAGCTTTATTATGATCTTTTGGGGAACCTGTACTCATGATGCTAAAGAATCCTTTTAGAAAGTAAAAAGTAAAAATTCTGTCTTACCAACACCCCCCCCACTCCAACACAAGCTTTAGTTGCTTAATCCTAAGCATTTGTAGATGAGATATGAAAAAACTTGGTTAAAGGACTGCTTCTTTTACTTTATGCCCAGATGTGTGTAGATGCAGAGGCAACACCCATGTATCTGAGGAAAATGTTCCTTGTTTTTATCCCCTGTGGTTGGTGCCTCTCCTGGTTGCCATGGAAACCTACCTTGAGGATGTAGTTGCCAGGCTGCACATCAGTGATGTCAATCCACTGGCAGTCAATGTCAGCATTGTATGTATCATAGCACCCTGGACTCAGGCCCTGAGAAGGGAGGAGGGGAGGGAGAACAGAATTCAGAACTCAGCCCTTCCTTTAGGCTATTCACTACACTGTGCTCTTTCCCCGAACCCTTTTGCTACTGGCCCACAGAACTGACTGACTGCTGTTCAGGCCTAGTGGTTGGTGGAAGATTGAGTCATCTTTTATTTCAAGCTTTGCTTCCTTAAACTGTGGGTCTACTCCTTGAAATACAGAATTGGAGCACCGTGGAACATAGCAGACCTGGGAGGGGTTTAGAGATAATCTAGCCTGACTTTCTTCATTTTAAAGAGAAAGAAACCAAGGCCTAGAGTGATTGAGACATTTGCCCAAGATAATGGTAGAATTGGGACCAGAACTCAGGACTTATGACTCTTCTTTCAATGGCCTCTCAGATTTCAAGTCACCTCTCAGAGCAGGGCTGGGAGAGGGGTGTGGTGAGGGGGCTGACAACAAAGGGGTGGACAGAGGTAGAGATCTAAGAAAACTCTGCAGGAATCTGAAAAATCAGTAAAAAAAAAAAAGTCAGGTCTTCATTTTCAACATTATCTCCCTGGACAAAAGGACAATAACAGTGAAAAGAATGGGATTTTCTGAACTCTCATTGTTAGTTAATCCAGGGAATTGTTTAGGATTTTTATCTCTGCCCATATCAATCTTACCAGTCTCATGGACCCCATTAAATTCCTAAAACATTTGGAAGATTCCCAGATCAACCCTTCTCTGCCCTCCTCATCACCCCTTAGTCAATCCATCAGTCAATTCTATATTGCTAAGTATACAGTGGGTGCTCAGTTATGACACCATAAGACAATTCTATATTTCTAAGTATATAGTGGGTGCTCAATAAAGACACTGATGCACTGAGTGTGTGTTCTTAATTTTTAGTTGTTACTGTGTTGTGTAGAGACTTGTCTATGGTCACCCAGCTAGTTAGTACGTGTCAGAGACGGGCCCAGGCTCATCCTGTATCCACTAAACACAATGTCTCACTCAGAAAGAACCTACAGACCTTCCATTAGTTTTTCCTATTGGGCAGGGCCCTCTTCACACTTCTATTGCCTTCCCACTCTTCCCCTCACTGACCTGTGTGTGAGAAGTGCAGGCATAGCGTTTGAGGTTGCCAAAATCGCATGTGGTGTCCTCTAGGCAGAAGCTGGCTTTGTGACCCTCAGCCACCTTTCTGCCTGTGGTAGCATCCAGCAGGTCATAGTGGCTAAATTCATCCATGCTATGGTAATGCCTGCAAGGAATAGAGAGAGGCTCAGCTGTGGCTGTGCTCAGAGGTGGCTCACTCAGGAGGTCACAGTGCTGGCCAAGGTGCTGAATGGAGGCCCAAGTATTTCTGTAGAATCCTGAGCATTTGTGGTCCATGGGTCTTTCCCCTTCATGCCATTGCAGGCTGCTTCACTTCCCCCATTACCCATCCTCTTACCTGCCTTTACCAGAAGATGGCCTGATGGGACAGAGGTGCATCTTCTGCCCGCCCTTTGGGGTGAGTCTGGGAATTAAGTCTTTCTCAACAGGACTTTCGTACATCTCCACACAAACCTAGTGACCTGTTACTTCTCCCCATCCCCTCAATATCTCTGGGACCCACATCTGGGCCTACTCCACCCTGTCCTAAGCTCATACCCTTTCTTTTGATATTAAAATATGTACATTTTTTGTCCCTTTACTTTGATTCACAGTTTAAATTTTCACAGAGATCTTGAATACCTTCTTTCTTCAAAAGATCTATGATTTAATTGGTGTGGAAATACCTTCTCCTAGGCATGTCACAACCCCTCCTCACCTTAACAGTTAAAATTTACGGATTGTTATGGCCAAAAAATTTATCACCTGGTGATCAACCTTCTGATGGAAAGCATTTTCTATACTTAGCTAGAACGGTCCTCAGACAACAGTCATAAAGTCTTGACCCACGCTTAAAGCTTTTCCACCTTGGTTACACCTTTCACTCCATACCTCCAAGACAGTATAAAACACTGAGAGTCAACTTTACACAAAGATATGAATCTCTGAAGGTGGAATTTCAGGTCATTGGAAGACATATTTTTGGACAGTGGGGAAGACCTTCCTGGTGCTCTTCACATCACAGGACAAAGGCAGTCACTCTATATTATAGTTGAAGTACCCATACTCATACCCATGAACTACAGATATTTTTTTCTGAATCCAAATAACAAACAGGTACATAGGATGATAGAGTCAGAAAAAGACCCCTCCAATGGCTGACAGAATGTCTAAAGGTATCTGTCCTTATGCCATCTGCCTACCTTTCCCTAATCCCTTCCTACTGCTTCTGGGAACCATTACTTACTGGTGACAACTGTGCCATTCCCAAGTGTGGCGGGGCCGGTTGGGCAGAAAGTCAGCTGTGCCCTGGTTCTTCACTCGCTGGGGAAATCTCAGCAAGACACGCACATCATAGTCAGTAGCCTCAGGACTATAGGCGGTGCTGGAAGAGAAAGGACAGGGAAGAATATCATGGGAATTATCACTATAACCACTGTCATCCTGACCAAGCCAATGATTTGGAGAAAGAGTGACTGCTATTTATGAAAAATATTAGGGGACTGGCTGTTGGAAGAAATAGTCCCATCTTCAGTTCAGTTTAAAAATTCACTAAATGCCTGTGCGCATGGCACTAAGCTATGGGCTGAGGAGACAGATGATGTGAATCATGGAACTTATAATCTAATGAAGGATACAACATGTACATAGATAAACATAACACGAGGCAGAATGTGATAGGTACAAAGGAGAATGATATGTAAAGTGTAATGAGAAACTTAAGGAGAAAGACCACAAATCCAGAGCTGAAGGGGACATAAGAAACCAGCTAGCCCAACACACTCCTTTTACAAATGAGGTCGTAGGAGGTTGACTTGCCTATGGTCACATGGCTGGTAAGCTTCAGGGGCTGGAATTGAACCCAGGTCCTCTGATGACAGAGTGAGTGCTCTTTCCACTGTACTATACTGCCTCATGTAGGAGGTGTTGGGGGGATCAGGGAATGCTTCATGGAGGGTGTAGCTCCTGAGTTGGTCCTTAAAGAAAGGCAAAGATTCTAACAGTAGGGAATCCATTCCAGGCATGAGGGCTGGCATGAACAAAGGTCCATAGATTGAAAAGATCATCACAAGAATAGAGGATGGCAAACGGTCCATTTGGATGAGGTGAGGACAACTCTTAGTATGCTACCACCACCACTACCACTATGACTACCATTGCCAAAGAAGTAGGAATGGTGAGAACACTGGATTTGGAGTCAGAGGATTGGGGTCCAAATCCTGGCAGTGGACCTATGCTACCTTGAACAAGTCACTTGGCTTCTTTGGGCCTTAGTTCCCTGGTCTGCAAAATGAGGTACAGACCACCGCATTCCTTCCTAATTCTACACCATATGAGGCAACATGGTGTAGTGGTATAATAATTTAGAGTCAGAAGACCAAGGTTCACATTCTGGCTCTGCTACTTACTGCCTGTGTAAATTTAGGAAAGTCACTCAGTCTCTCTAAGACTCAGTTTCCTTATCTGTAAAATGTAAAGGTTGTACAATATGAGTCTTAAAGACACTTCTAGCCCCAACAATGTGTGGTTCTGTAATACAGTTGGCTGGAGCCAGATTGTAAAGGACTTTGAAAGCCAAAGTTTTACTTAGTGGAGCCACTGAAGGTATTAGAGCTTTCAGCTAGTCCCCTGTCTAATGGGAGTAACAGAACAGATATGCAAGAACATAGTGGGAGAGAAGAGCTAAGAACATCAGAGACTTACAAACATTAAACCCTCCAGAGCCAGCAGCTGAGGATACCGAGTCAAAGACATCCATAGACATCTTCAGATTTCTTTTATTGAATTAAACTCTGCTATGTTGTTATTTCCACTAACTGGTCCTATCTCTGCCCTCTGGGGCCAAGAAAAACAAGTTTAATTCCTTCTCCATCTGCTAGTTCTTCTAAAACTTGAAGAAAGGGAACAGCTAGGTGGCACAGTGGATAGAGCTCTGGTCTTGGAGTCAGCAGGACCTGAGTTCAAATCCAGCCTCAGACACTTGACACTTACTAGCTGTGTGACCCTGGGCCAGTCACTTAAGCCCGATTGCCTCACCAAAAAGCAAAAAATAAAATACTTGAAGAAAGCTATCACGCCCTCCTAAGTATTTTCTTCTCTAGACTAAAGATCCCCACTTCTTCCAATGGATTTTCATATGGCATGGTTCCCAGTCTCCACCCCATCATAACTACCCTCCATTGGAAGTGCTTCAGTTGGACTTTACTAGCAACTTTTCCCCTTCCTCCCAGGCACTTCCCTGCTTTCAGGTAGAAAATAATCTTTATTAACCTATTAATCTAATTATCTATTAACCATCACCATTTAGATCTGATAGTGCAATTATGTAGATTTATAACTGGTTAAATAATCCCTTAGCCTGCACCTGTTCATTGTATAAACAAGGGTACCATGAGAGAATTTGTCAAAAACTTCCAGAAATTGAGGCATCATGTCTATGGCACTCCACTAATTTGCAAATCTAGTGAATCTATCTAAACTTGTAAACAATGTCAGCTCACCACAAGTTGTTCTTTTGTGTGTGTTTAAAAGGAAATATTTAATTTTACTAAGGAACTGACAATCATTAACAAATATGATACAGATTTTCCCAAGATGATTGACAAAAGAAGCCATGAAAATTGATAATCGTTATGTCAGTGCCAAAGTAATTTTGAGCTTCCTTACTCTTCATTTAAAAATAATTTATTATGCATTTACCTTAACTTTAAATTTCAACAAAACCTTGTGAGTGTTAGAAGGTAAGCTCTTTGAGGGGAGGGATTGTTCTTGTTTTTGTCTCGTATCCTTGGTGCCAGAGAGCCGGACTGGCTTAGTGAACAGGGAGTTGGCCACAAAGCCTGCAAAACTCAAGCTCAAGTTCTGCTTTGGTTACATGTTGGCTGTATGACCCCAGACAAGTCATTTAACCTCTCAATGCTCTACTCTTTAAGATTATATGTTGCAGAGAGTTGCTGACCTCTATTGGCAGAGAAAGTTTCTTCATTTGGAAGTTCCCTACAGCAATGAAATCAGAAATTCAATTTCTGTTTCCGGTGCCTATTTCAGTGCCTGGCACATAACAAGTACTTATAAATGCTTGTAATATTGAACTCACTATACCTCTATAATTATTTACATATAAACATTAACGTATTTATTCCAATATGCCCATAATAGTTTATTGGTAATTCCCTCCATATCCACTTTTGTTCTCTGGCAATTCATCTCAGTATTTCTGTATACTTTATTTTTTCATATAGTTGTAGAATGGTTCTGATTTCTTCAATTTGCATGACCTCAAAAGTCTTTCTAAATTTCTTTATATTCTTTAAATTTTTGATCCATATAATGTAATATTATTTTACGCTAACATAACATTTTCTTCAGCCATTTGCCAACCATTGAAAATTAGTTCATTCAAGTCAAGAAACACTTATTAAGCACCTACTATGTGCCAGGTGCTGTGCTAAGCACCAAGGATCCAAAGAAAGGCAAAAACAAAATCTCTGCCCTCAAGGAGCTCATAGTCTAATAGAGGAGATAACATGCAAGTAACTATGTAGAAACAAGATATAGGGAGGACGAATTGGAGGTAATCGACAGAGGGAAAGCACTAAAATTGAGGAGGACTAAAAAAAGCTTCTTGTGAAAGTGAGGCCAGTTGAGGCTTTTGTAAGTTAAATAAATTACAATTGAATGTGTATGCATACATGAACAGATACATCTTTGTGATGACACAGAGTATAGTCACAATAACGGGATCCTGGTCAAAGGATGTAATTGTTTTGGTGATTCATGTTACGTGCTTCCAGATTTTCCTCTAAAAAAGATTCTGCCAATCTGTAACTTCATTGGCAATGCATGGATTTACCTTTTACTCCACAACCACAACCACAACCACAAATTGTTGCTTTTTCCATCTCTCCCAGCTTCAAAGTTGTTTCATTTTTCTTTGATAAATAGGGAGGTTGAACTTTTTTTTAAAAAAATGATCCCTTATAACGTATTTAGCCTCTTTGTCAATGATCTACTCAAATCCTTTGCCACTTTATCAAATGGTAATTAGGTATTGCTATTGAGTACTTTAATCAGTTTCATATAAATTTTATATCTAAAATTTTTGTCTTATGTTTATTGAAAATATTCTACCCAGTCTGTTAATTTTCCTTTTGATCATATTGTTTTTCTCAACTTTTTTGAATTCACACCTTAAATTTCCAAAACTTTTTTTTCTATTTAACAATAAAAAATGTATCTGCTCTCCTTCCATAACTAAAAAAAAATTCCCTTTTCTTCCAGCTGTTCAAAATTTGTTTTTTTATGCTTCACTCTATGACCCAGCTGGAATTTGTTATGGCATGCTTTATGAGGTGAGGATCTCAATATCTTTTATTACCAGTCCATTTTCCAAATATTTATTAAATAATCAATCATTTCCCTAGCTTTATTGCATATAGGTTCATCAAACTCCAATCATTTGAATATATTTGATTCTAGTTCAAGTATTTCTCTTCTATTCCCTTAGTCTGTATTTTTCCTTAAAACTAGAGAGTTTTGATAAAAATTGTTTTATAGTATTTTTTCCTTTCTCAAGTAAAAGTTTTTTTTCTGTTTCTCAAGGTTAATATTCTTGTTTGTTAGTTTTTCCAAATAAATGTCATAAGATCATGGCATTTAGAACTGGAAGGGCCTTTAGAGGTTTTCTAGTCTAATCCCTTCAGGAAATTAAGGTACAGAAAGAACTTGCCTACTATCATAAAAGTAGTAAGCATCAGAGCTAGAATTCAAACCCAGGTTTTCAAACTCTAAATTCATTGAACTTTGCACTATAACACATCACTTTACCAAGCTCTACCAAAAACACATCGGTATTTTGGTTGATATGATATATAATCTACAAACTACTTTAGGGTAGTCTTTTTATTACATTTATCAGACCCATTTATGAAAACTGAGTTTCACTCTTATTATTCAGATCTCCTTTTATTTTCTAATACATTTAAAAATTATTTTTATAAAAATGATATGTGTTTAGGTAAGTTAATTTCTAGACATATAAATGTAGATGTAGTGCTATTTCTGTATATTGGAGTTTTACTTCAAATAATATATTCATATTCTGGAATGGTGGTGGTGTTCAGTCATGTCTGCCTCTTCATGACCCCATTTGGGGTTTTTTTGTCAAAGATACTGGAATGGTTTGCCATTTCCTTCTCTAGCTCATTTTATAAATGAGGAACTGTGGCAAACAGTGTTAAGTGACTTGCCCAGCGTCATATAGCTAGTGACTGAGGCCAGATTTGATCTCACAAAGATGGGTCTTTCTGGTTCTCTGTCCAGTTCTCTATCTATTTCCCTGCCTGGAGGCTCCCATTCTTGAATGATAATATATGAGAAAACAAACATTTTCATGTACTTATCTTGTGTACTACAACCTTATTGAATTCATGCATTATCTTAATACATTTTATTGTTGCAATTGGTGATAGATTTTCTATCTAAGCATTCATGTCATCTGAAAATAATGATATTTTGATACCATTTTCTATGTTAATTTCTTCAATTTATTATTGTTATTTCTAGCATCTTTAAAATTGTTAAATAGAAATGGATACAATGGGCACTCTTGTTTTTAGTAAAAAATGCTTCTGGTGATTCTTCATGGCATATAATGCTGCCTCTGAGTTTAGGTAAATATGTTGAGGGACAATAATTTTATTCTTTTCTATAGCTTTTTTTTAACGATCATGACTAGATACTGTATTTCATTGAAAGAATTTTATGACTCCATTGTTATGATTTAAAAAAATTTTTTTAATAGCTCCCAGTTTTTCTAATATTGAGCTATTTTTACATTGTTGGCATAAATTTCACTTGGCTAGAATGAAGACATTTTAAAAATGTGGTGGTATTTTCTATTTGCTAATAATTTTATTTGGAATTTTCACATCCATATTCATTAATGAGTTTGGCCTAGACTTTTCCTTTTAACTTTTGGCTTCATAAAGTTTAGACTCAAGACCATATTTGCCTCATAAAATGAACTGGGCACCAGTCAATCTTTCTGTAAATTTAGCAACATTCTATGTACAGAGGAATTATTTGTTTTTTTGGAGGTTTGGAAAAATTCCCCTGAAAATACCTCTTGACCTTATAATTTTTTGCAAGGCGATTCACTGATGATTGGTCTGATTTGTTCCTTTGAAATGTATTTATTTATCTGTTTCCTCTTATGTTGGTTTTAATAGTATTTTTAGAAACAGTTACTAATGTCACTTAAGATCTCCAGTTTGTGTGCAAATTCCTTAATGATATTATTAATTTCCCTTGCATTTTTATGATCTATTTTTATTTTTACCTTGGTGAATGATGTTATCTCTTTTATTTTGGTGGGATTGTTTTCTAAAATTTCAACATTATTTTTTTTAAAGCTCTTAGTTCCATTGATTAAAGTGATTCTCTTTCTTTTTCTATCCTATTCATTATTGCTCTTATACATCTTTTTTATTACCTTTGGAGTATTACTATGTTTTGCTTATAATGTTTTTAAGTATAGAAAATTAATTTAATTTTTCTTTTTCTTTTTGTTAATTAAAGCTAAAAAAATTTCTTCTAAGATTCATTCTGGCTACATATTATAGATTTTGATAAGGGAGATTAGTGTTATCATTATCTTTGAAATATTATGTCACTTTCTTATAATTTCTTCTTTAACTTAGTTATATTAAAATATTTTTAGTTTCCATGTAGTTTTGAACCTTTTATTAATGCTACAGTTACTTTTTTCCAGTTTTATTACATTATAGTATGATGCTTTTTACCATTTATCCTTGGCTCCTTTAAGTCTAACTATGTGGTGACATGGTTCCCAGAACTTTCATCATTTTGGACTGTCTCTAATTTATCGATGTCCTGAACATGGTGCCCAGAACTAACATAATACTCTAGGATGACCAGCACAATAACGGAGAGCTTAAACAAAATTGGAGCAACCTATCTATGGAGGGAGATGTGAATCAAGGGAGCATTCCAACAGAGTAAGCTAGGAAATGAATAGATGGAGTTGGGAAAAATAGCCGGATCTGATGAAATTAACACAAAAGAAATCTGTGCTGGATGTATACCATTTTGGAAAACATTGAGAGATCATTTTTCTAGATGCCTGAAAAAGGAGAAGATATCAAAAGATTTGGATAAAAATGTTGGAGAGAATTGTTGGGAGAAAAAAAAAAGGTGACCAAGAGGATATTAGTGACTACTGACTCATAAACCTAATATCTCATCTCTATAATGAGCCCAGGGTAGAGTAGCACAATGGTTAGAGTACTGGGCCTGGAGTCAAGGAAGACTCATCTTCATGAGATCAAATTTGGCCTCAGACATTTACCAGCCATGACTTGGGGCAAATAACTTAACCCTGTTTGCCTCAGTTTCCTCATCTGTAAAATGATCTGGAAAAGGAAATAGCAAACCACTCCAGTATCTTTGCCAAGAAAACCCCAAGTGGGGGGCACAGTGGATAGAGCACCAGTCCTGGAGTCAGGAGGACCTGAGTTCAAATCTAGCCTCAGACACATAACACTCACTAGCTGTGTGACCTGGGCAAGTCACTTAACCCCATTGCCTAGCCAAAAAAACAAACAAACAAAGCAAGAAAACCCCAAGTGGGATCATGAAGAGTTATAACTAAACAACAACAATAATGCACCCTGATATACCCCTATCGATTATCTCAAATTTATGCAGCAGGGGTGAAACATGAAGAGTCAGCAAAGGGCCCTAAGGAGTGATCAGAGAGGTGGGAGAAGAACTAGGAGAAACCAGTGACTCAAGAACTTGGGGAGGAGAGTGTTTAAGATAAAAGGATGGTCAACAGTGTCTGATGCTACAGACGTCAAGAAGAATGAGGTTTGAGAAAATACCATTGGGTTTGGCAATTAAGAGGTTATGGGTAACCTTGGAGAAGGCAATTTCAGTTGAGTGATGGGGGTGGGAGCCTGATGGCAAAGGAGTGAAAGGTGAGTGTTAGGAAAGTGGAGGCAATGATTATAGACAGGTTTGGGTTTTTTTTAATGACTTTGGTCCAAACATAAGACAGTTTACCCACAGTGAATTAATCAACTGCACACAACTTAAAACAGAAAAGATATTTCTGTCTTTTCCCATTGATGAGTAGAATTGCACCCTATTCACTCCCCACTCCATCTACTCCTTTGGGCCTGTCAGAATCAATGTCAACAAAACCATTCCACAATCATATCCTCCATCTTTAAAGAATGTGTTGCTATGGGAATTTTCTGAGTTCTTGCCTCTTTCTCTAGAAGAGATAGATATGAAATGGGTGACTTACAGTGGGAAAGTCTAGTGGAGGAGTGATGACTCTGGAAAGGACAGTTCTCCAGCCCTACCCTCATAAGGGAGAATTTCTTTAATTCTGTAGTAAGTCAGTTCTGGTTGTGTAAGACCCTGAGTCTGGGGCATTGAGTGAACACTTTGAAAGCAAAATTTTCCAACTTTTCAGGGAGAGAGGAATCAGGGATGAAAGTTTTACGTGATGTATCCAAGGCTGCTCGTTGAGTTAATGGTGGAGTTGGGACTAGAAATGAGTCCCCTGGCACTGCCCTCCACTGGGCCATCACTTTTGCCATGCTTGGCATGTGTTTCTTACCTGGCCAGACACTTCTCCTCTGCTGCACAACGCAGGGAATAAAGATGGGACCTCTGAACATAGGTAGAGGCCTGCACATAGTTGGGATCAGGTACCAAGTCAGGGAGACCTGGAAGAGAGAGCCAGAGAATCCAAAGTCAGCAATGGCTTCAGTTAATAACATCCCTGCAGTCCTCAAGAGGCCTCTCTATCACTGCCATCATCAGGCAGATTCGAGGCACTTTGACTTGCTTTAGCTCCATTCTTTTCAATTTTATTTTGCATACCCATTTTAAATGCCCCTTATATGCAAATCACATACTCATTAGCCATGTGACCTCTTGGTGGCCCCAGGCAATTCTCTAAGACTCTAAATTACAGATGTGGTACCAATGTGCATCAGTGGAGGGAGTTGTCACAAGAGGAGTTCCTTACAGCTGTCAGATGGATTTCCTAAAATTCAGGTCTGATCATGTCATTCAATTAACTCTAGTGACTCTCTGTTGTTTCCTGGATAAAATATAAAATACTGTTTGGCTTTTAAAGTTCTTCCCAACCCGGCCCCTTTGTGCCTTTCTTCAAAGGTCTTGGTTAACCTTACTCCCTTCCAAGTTCTCTGCCATCCCGTGACACTGGCCTCCTGGTGGTTCCTTGCCCCAGACACACAAAGTGTTCCATCTCCAGGATCTGGGCATCTTCACTGGCTGGACTCCATGCCTGGAATGCTCTTCCTCCCCAACTCCATCTCTCCATCAAATTGCAGCTTAAATCCCATATTCTGTGGGAAGCATTTTCTGGTCCCCCTTAATCTAATGCCTTCTCTCTACTGACTATCTCAAATTTATCTGCTACATGTCTCGATTTCATGCAGTTATTGCATGTTGTCCCCCTCATTAGACTGTAAAATCCTTGAGGGAAGGGGCTGTCTTTTGCCTTTTTTTTTTTTTAATCCCAAGCACTTAGCACAGAGCCTGGAACTTTTGTTTTTGTTCAGTTGTGTCTGACTCTTCATGATACCATTTGGGGTTTTCTTGGCGAAGACAATGGAGTGGTTGGTCATTTCCTTCTCCAGCACATTTTACGGAGGCCGACGAGGCGAAGTGACTTGCCCAGGGTCACACAGCTACTAAGTGTCTGAGGCTGGATTTGAAGTGGGGTCTTCCTGATTCTAGACTTGGTGCTCCATCCACTTCGCCTCAGTACTTACCCTCTCTACTCCTGAGGTTCCTCACCTGTATAATGAATACGTTGGATCAGATGGCCTTAATGTTCCCTTCCAGCTTTAAATCTATAATCTTATTGGGGGTAGACACTAGTTCCCACCTTCAAGAACCTTATAGCCTATAGCGTACTAAAACATATACGCAGATAATGACAATATAAATTTTATCATGATAAGAAGGTCAGAGAGGGCCAAACCACAGTTCTGAGATTTCTCAGTGCCTCTTCTCCCAGGGAGAACATTTTCCTTTGATGGTTCAGGGATGCCAAGGCCAGAACTTGAGGACCCGAGGAGGAGAAGCAGAACCTTCCTTTGCCTCTGCCCTGGGGCCTGCTTTCAGGTGGTCCTCACTTAGGAAGGGATGACTGCCCATTGGGAGTCTGTGAGGCAGGGTTATCCCCATTTAATACATGAGGAAACTGAGGCAGACAGAGTTTAAGCAACTGGCTCAGTGAGTGTCTGAGGCTGCATTTGAACTCATACCTTCCTGACTCCAGGACCAAGGCTCTAACCAATGTGCCACCTGTTGCCAATCTGTGATCCTATAATCCTACAGCATAACCTCCACAGGCCTTGGTTTCCCCTTCTGTGGAAAGAGGCCCCTCCCAGTTCTAGATCTGAGGTTCAGTAATTTTGCTTGGGAGGGAGGGGAGGAAAAGAGGGGAAAGGAGCATGGGAGAGACTGAGGGGGTTTTGGTGCCCAGGGATTCTGGGGCGAAGGAGGGGTGAGGTCTTCATATGCCCCTGGAGAGTCACCACTGGGCAGGAAGTGAACCCATCTGGCCCATCTGCAGCACCAGGAAATTCCCAGAAGGGGGTGAACAGAGGAAGGAGCATGGAAAATCCTTTGTCCCCAGGCTGCTGACCCTGCAGGATTCTTAGACCGGGCACTTCGCCTGACCTTTATTGAGTTTGCTTTGGCTAGGACAACGTTTCCTTCATTTTAGCTCATAACAGAAAGGCCTCTTTTTGGTGCTTCTGGCCAAGCCCTGGATCCATCCCACTTCCTCCTTTTGCCCCTCCCCCGGCCTCTTTCTGGCCCCCCAGTCGTACCTGCCTCTATCCTCACTGGCTAGCTGAGAGCGAGGGACCCTAGATGCTGGTCATTCCTCCTCCTTTCTTACCTGGGCTTATTCTCCTCAGTCTTCAAGGCCTAGTTCAGGAGCGGGGAAACTGTGGCTTCGAGGCCACAAGTGGCCCTCTAGGTCCTCAAGTGAGGCCCTTTGACCAAATCCAAACTACCCAGAACAAATCCCTCAGGGCTGCAGGTTCCACATTATCAACTGCCCCAGCCCTCACTAAGGTCCTTCTCCTCTAGCTGCCCCAGCCCCTTACTGTCTACCCTCCATCTCAACCTTGCCCTGTACTGCTCTCTTTCCTGTGTGTGCCATCTCCCCAGCTCGATTGAGAGTTCTCCCTGGCTCAGTTTCCTCATCTGTAAAATGGAGATAAAAATAGCATCCTGATCCTAGAATTGTTGTGAGAATCAGATACTACATGGAAAGTGCTTCGCAAGCCTTAAAGTGCTATATACATATTAGATTTTAGGAGGTGCAGCGGAAAAAGCACTTACTGCATTTGGAGTCAGGTAGCCCTGAGTTCAAATCCAGCTTCAGATACTAGTTGTATGATCCTGGGCAAGTCACTCAACCCTATTTGCCTCAATTTCCTCATCTATAAAACGAGCTAGAGAAGGAAATATCAAACCATGCCAGTATCTCTGCCAAAAAAACCCAAATGGGGTCACGGAGAGTGAGTGGAAACAAGTGAACCACAAAAACCTCTGACCCAGAGTTAGAGTTCTTACTGTACCATTCAGAGAGACAATGGAATACAGGGGAAAGTCCATTGGATTGAGGGTCAGGAAACTGAAATATTATTTCTGGTTCTGATATTGATTTGCTGTGTGAGCTCAGGCCAGTCACTTTCACTCTCTGGGCCTCAGTTTCCCCACCTGTAAAGTAAGGGGGTAGGGCTAGGTAGACTTTCACATTCCATAATTCTATAAGGGAGCAGGCCTTCGTGAGTCATGGTTTCTTCCTCTTTGCCATCCCTACCCTCTGGCTCCCTGGGAGCCCTTTTATCAGCTGTTTGGTTCAGGTTGATGAGGAAGGTAAGTTGAGTCTCTGGTTTTCAGACCCTTGCCAGAGAGTGTCGTCTCACCACCGCCCTCATCCCCCCACTCCACCTTCACTGACTCACTCAGGGGCCTCTCCCAAGGCAGCCAGCACGACTTCACCCTCCAGGAATGGGAGGATGAGGTTAATCCTGGTGGGGGGCAATAAGGGAGGAGGAGGGCTACAGGGAGCCTTGGCTGACGGCATCCACATTACCCAAGGCCTCTGGAATGATTGCCTCATTTCCTCAGGGGCCTCAGACTCCGGTGGCCTTCTTGCCAGGAGGGGAAGCAGCATTTCCAAGCAGGGACCTGGGACGGATCATTTCCCTCCTTGGGGCCTCCGCTCACAGATCATCAGTGACCTTCCCGAGGGCTGGTGAATACTCTCCTCCCTGAAGGCCTAAGCAGAGCTCAGGCCTGAGACAGTTCTGAAGCCCCATCCACGAGCCAACACTCTTTTTTCCACACAGATTGAAATCTTTCGTTCTCCGAGGACCCTTCCCCGTAGCAAGCTCATCTGCCTCTTCCCCGTCCTGTGCCTGGGCCTTCTCAAGCAGCAACTTAAAACGGACATTCTCACCCTTTTCTGTGTCATGGACCCTCTTGGCAGTCTGGAGAAGCCCATAGATCCCCTCGCAGAATCATGGTTTTTATTTCATAAAATAAAATGTATAAGATTACTAAAGAAGCCAACCAAACTGAAATAGAGTAACTTTACAAAACCATACATATATATACACACACAATACATACGTGCACATATGTATTTGTGTACACGTGTGTTAATGTATAGGAACATATATGTATACACACATACTCTTGTATAGGAACACAGCGCTATGTATATGTACATATGCATTTGTATATAGGAACATATGTATATAAACACGTATACTCATATAATCATGTACATACATAATGTTCATATGGGGGAACATGTGTGTACACACATGTATATGTATATACATCCCCGTATAGGAATGTATACTTACATGTAAATGAGGATATGGGGATATCCCATCTAGAGATAGGAGGAGATAATTGTACTTACCTCCCATGGTTGTTGTGAAGATAAAATGAGAAAACATACGCAGAGTGGTTTTGCAAATCTTAAAGTACTATATAAATGCTAGTTATTATTATTGTTATTGTTATCTTGTTTAATGCTGTGAACAACCACAGTTTCAGATACGATTCTCCTGTAAGTCCACGGGCTTCATGCTACCTCAGCCATAGACTAATCCCCACAGCTCACCCTTCCCACACATAGACTAAGCACCCAGTAGCTCTCTCACTGTGGGCAAGTCCCATAACTTCTCTGGGTCTCAATTTCCTCCTTTGCAGCATGTGACAAATAACAGCTAAAGTAACTACTTTAACAATGTTGTGGGGAGGTGGGGGGAGCGGGGCAGACCAGTGATTTCATTTATGTGGGAGCTCCCCGTGTAGAAAATTACTCCATCAAGTCTGCCTGGCCACTCCTCAGTAATTCCTCTTCTTAGAGAGATGCCCGAGGGCGGTCACTCAGCCAGTGTGCAGCAAAGGTAGGATTTGAAACCAGGTTTTCCTGACTTTTTAGGTTACTCTTCTGTCTTCTACGCTTTCCTGCTTTTCTATAGACTATACTGCCTTGTGAGGGTTAAATGAAGTAACGTATAAAGGAACTTTACAAACCTGAAATTGCTGTATATACATCAGCTGTAGTAGTAGTAGTAGTAGTAGTAGTAGTAGTAGTAGTAGTAGTAATAGTAGTAGTAGTAGTAGTAGTAGTGATGGTGGTGGTGGTGAT